TGGCAGTGATCCACTACATAAAGGACCATCCTGCCGCCTCACTGGATCAGTTAACTCTGCCTGGAACCTTTCCCACGATGGAGACTCTGATACTCGGTGTTGATGATGCCGGCTGGGGAAGAACGTACGGTAAAACGGTCGTTGATGTCGTCCGCCAACGCCTTAATGAAAAACGAGCGGCGGAATTGAATGTCACAAAACTATTTTACTTGCGTATAGATTGTGTCGGTGATGAAGTCATCCACCAACTAAGAAGCGACGGGCTTGATGCACTTGAGGACGAAGGTTTGTATTGGGGGAAAGGGGAGTCACCGTACCTTGAAGTTGAGGAATATTGGGTGGGAACCTGGTATAGTGGGTTAAATATCTATGTGCAGCGGGAATTCGAAAACAGCTAACAGTACTTACGAATTTGGTAGGATAGTGCTGCACAATAAACTGGTATTCCCTATCTGCCACATCATAAATCACGAGCTACTTTTTGCGGATGCTCCGTCAAACATTTGGTTGCTGGGCTGGCACTTATTGAAAGGATTCACCATTTTATGTTATATACAGAGGTGGTATTTAAAGGATCCAATCATACCGCATCGCTGTTAGACCAGTTGACCGTAACCGGAATCATTTCTGAGTTGATAGAATTGAGGCTCGATGTCGATGCTGGTACTGATTGGGAACGAAGATATGGTAAAAGGGTTTTCGATGTCGTGTGCGAACGTTTGATGAGGAGCAGGCGACCACTTTGAGTGTCGCAAAGCTCAGGCTATCCCATCTGGATGTAATGTGTGTACTACGGGCCTGGAACTGTTAAATCGGGTTCATGTCGACGTTATTAGTTACGACATGACCAAAAATTACACATTTTCCAGTCCTTTCAGGGTCGCCAAAAAGTACTGGCGGGACGAACACATCGCTTACGATTTAGGTAGTGGGCGGGCACTGCTTGCATTCCTGATTCAGGTGTAAATGGGACCACAACTTAAAGGTACGATCCCGAGGTACAAACGATTAATGATTATGAACATGCGAAAATTTAAAAAGGCCGTTCTGCAAGAACCTCTGATACTTTCACGATCAACGCAGTCTTGCTCCTAAGCTCCACAGCAAAATACGTTTTCGCTCCTCCAACACCTTTAGTCCTGACCACTTGGAATATTCGGTCATACTCTTCCGGTGCGTCGACTCGTCTTATCGTGCATACGAAATCCCTCTTCTTCGTGTATACCAGGAGATCCTCGTTGAACCTTACGTTTTGTCTGTTCGAAAATACGTCAAAGGGTACTTGCACCTTGATAACGATGCTCTTGGGTGATTCAGCCGAGAGGTTCTTCGGTGTGTGCGCGAAGCGGTGATGAGACTGAGGCGTGTCGGGCGCGGGGATAGACAAAAGGTCTGGAGAAAACATGGCGGTTGGTTGGACGAACCCGTTTCGAGCGTCGGCGTAGCATGGGATGAGGGTGATAGTGTTCCGTGTGGAGAATGGTTGACAGAGGGGCTTGTGGGTAGACCAGTGCGAACCTGAGTGAGATGTCAGGAGGGTATAATATGCTACAAAAGGTGAAACGAAACGCACGCTGACACGCTGTCGAACGATACCTCGCAGTCTGACACTCTGAGCATAGCCTGCATTGGACACCGTCTCCTCCTGGTTTCTTGCAAAGTTCGCATGCCTTGCCGTCCATCCGTTTCTTGTCCCCTGAACGCTTCCTGAGCCATCGCTGCACCGCGGCTGTCACCTCTGGGCCACACTTGAGCTGAAACTCCCGTGGCTTGACTCCGTCTGCGTCTGCAATGTCTATGTCGGCGCCGAATTCCATGAGGAGGTCGATAGCGCCGATTCCGTTGGTCTGG